GTTACAAATCTTGTGAAACACTTAAGTGCTAAATGTGGTCATGAGGAACTAGCAAACCGGCCAATACTTTTATAGTCCATGAATAAGTAAACGATAACTCAGATAAGTAACTGCCAGCATCAAGGCATTAATAACGGCACATATAATTAGGACCTACCTACTGTTTCTAATCAAACCAAAGGAATATATTTTCCGGCAGTGAAAACAAGATCACACCCAACCACAGGTGAAATCACTTTTAGAATACTAAAAATTTAAAACAAAGCTAACACCGCAGGCAAGATTTCGCCGATAGACGAAACAGCCGTAGAAAGAGAATCCGCCAGTTTTAACTTCACGCACGAAATGGGCTTGTCACAGCTCACGCTAACCTCGGACAGTGAGTGTTCGACGAGTGGCGGATGTGTGTGAGCAGACACGGCCTGGCGCGGAGGGTAGGTTGTTGTCCAGGAGTCAGGGAAAGGAGCAGAATAGTTTATAACTTAATGTAAATGGCTTTTTATTGATTGAGGTTTTCGGCTTTCAATAATTTAATCCAGACTGCAATTTAAAAGTTATTTGAATCGTTTGCCAGAAAAATGCAATGCCATAACATAGCATGTAACGATACATGATAGTATGCAACGTAACATTCATATAAATGGAAAATTAATTTTCGTCTTATTGTTATTATTCTTCCTCTTCTTCTTCGTCTTCTTCTTCTTCTTCTTCTTCTTCTTCTTCTTCTTCTTCTTCTTCTTCTTCTTCTTCTTCTTCTTCTTCTTCTTCTTCTTCTTCTTAGCTGATCGCCAGCTGTGAACTCCGGCGAAAAACTTCTTGTTATTCGTCCATTTCTGGACTTTGGACTTGTTCCAGAACTTGAGTTTTGCGTGCACATCTCGTTTGACAAATCTGGCTTACTCGTATGCACACAGTTGTTTCATTGCAGTTAAGGCAGATGCAGTCCAACTCTAAAGGAAACACCCCTAATTAGTCGACTTTTAATTCATGCTTGTTAGGTTGCAATGTTAGAGAGTCTATTTCTTCTGCTTATGCCCCTCACCTCACCCCCATGGGGCCGAACTCACATGGGGCCGAACTCACATGGGGCCGAACTCACATGGGGCCGAACTCACATGGGAAGAGAAAATATATACGTTTTCTAGTAACAAAGTAGTACAGTAAACTTCCTTTTAGTTAAAGCTTTCATAAAAAATCAAACAAGGAAGTCATTACCATCATGTGTCATTCGATAAAGGAGGCAGTTATTGTGGGTTGTCTCACGTGATCACTTTCTCTGATCAGGTCTGCTTTCTTGTCGTTCTCCAAACTGAAGCATGCAGGATAAAAAAAGCTGAGAAGATATTTTTTAAACCATTTGGGATTCAATTGTCGAATGGGACAGTGTACTGTCGTCACTTGATTCTGTATGTGAGGTCTTATTCAGATATGTGGTCAGTCCTGTTAACTTGCTCACATTTGACTGAGCGACCGAATAGCAGTAATCAGTACTACCTGCTTTCTGTTACCGCCGAATGTTAGGCGGCGTAAACCAAACCTGACATTCCACACTGTGCCCAGAATACGCAGAAAATGCCATGGGGCGCTTCTAGTATGAGGTCAGTGATCAAAGTGAAGGTCCCAGTGTTCCTTCTACCTTGCAGCTTTTTGGGTGTATATTATTTTGAAGTTTTTGAGGTTTTAAACAACTGAACAGCATCAAGGCACACTTGTGTAACCCATAAGTGCTCAGTTCTTCTTCTAACTCAAGTCTAAGTCCGAAGAAGCTCAGCACAGTGCACAGGCTCTGTAACACCGGCGAGGATCCTGAAATACTTTGGGTAGATTTTTAACTCCCAATTTTGCCCTGGCAGCGCCGTTAGTCTACTCTTTTAGATTTTTACGTGCGCAACAATGCCCACGGGCGCCGATCTAACTACCCAGATACCAGTAGGAATTACTAGAAGTCCAAGTCCACGTGAAAAAATCTCAGCCCTTATCTGGGTTTAAACCCGGAACATCTAGTACGCGAGGCGGACACCATGCCTAGCTTCACAATGAAACTGAAAGTTCAAAATATTTGCGAGCAACACACGCTGTTCCGTTTTTACATAATTATCAACAATGGGGACGATTTTTTTAAAAAGTCAAAACAAGACTGGCTCTACCAGTCGAGAGGTCTGCCATCAATTCCCTCCTACTCGTTGGTAAAATTATTTATGTGCGGCTACAGATACATGACATGAGGTTTTGCGTCTCCACAAACCCTCCTTAGTTGGCTTATCTGACACACATGACATGTTGCTATTATTTGTTTCCGGTCAGCGTCTGTGGCTTAGGCGTTGCGAACGTGCTTCCTAATGCCTGGGTACCAGGTTCGATCCCAACTGCGAGCGATTTGGCAGCAGACCCTTTGCGTTGTTTTCGACAGTGGTATAAAAAGACGACCCTTAGAGCAATGGCAAACTACTAAGCGCAAATTTGCCTAGAAAATCACAACAGTCAAACAATTGCTGGTGTTAGTTCTGCAATGTCCTGTAAAGGTCATGCAACTTTTTGTTTTCAAATGTGTTTCCGGCTTCACACAGGCTTCAGGCGCGATACAGAGTTATTGTGAGGAGCAGGTACAGTGCAATATCAAAAATACAAACTATCAAAGATCAGTGGGAAATGCCGAAAGAGTCTATCCATCAGACAAGCAAAGAGTTTTTACCAGATAGAAGACAAATAGCTAAACTGAAATCGATGACCGAAGAAATTTTAAAGTTAATGGGTGACATAAAGCAGTGAATGAATGACAAAGAGGAATATGACAAGACAAAAAAAAAAATTTAAAAAAAAATGTATGAAGGCCAAAAAAAAAAAAAAAAGTTTCTAAATTAACAATGCAATAAAATTGAATACAGTAATGTTAAAGATGCAAAAAGTAAGCATGAACAAATTAGTGATCTAACTGGAAGAAAAATACAAGTAAACACAGGATGTCGGAAATCAAAAGCATGAGAGATCTTAATGGAGGAAGATAATATAATAGCTAGATGGAATGAATACATAGGAGAGTTATATGATGGAAAGAGAGCAGAATTACCAGAAGAAAGAAATTCAGAAGGTCCGTCTATTCTGAAGGAAGAAGCTGGCAATGCTATTAACCATATAAAGAAGAGAAAGTCAACTGGGCCAGATGAAATTTCAGTAAAGAATTAGAAGTACTGGCGCAATTTGGAGTAGAAATATTAACTAAACTGATGAATGTCATTTTATAACTCTGGGTACATCCAAAGTGATATGATGAAATCTGTTTTTATTTCATTAAAACCAAACGACCAGGAGCAATTGACTGTGAAGAATTTCGTTCAATCAACCTAATAAATTATATCACCAAATTAAGCAATTAGAATTATAATGAAATGATGGATTTATGGAAGGTAAAGAGACAAGTAATGCAATATACATATTACGAACACTGATAGAAAGATCAATGGACATACAAAAGGACTTATAGTTGTGCTTTATAGATTATACCAAAGCATTTGACAAAGTTAGACATGAAGAGATGATAAAAATGTTGGAAAACATCAATGTCGACGAGAAAGATCTCAGAATAATTAAAAACACTTTACTAAAACTAAGTAGCAGCAATTAAAGTGGGAATCAGATTGGGTACTTTTGGAAAGATAAGGCAAGGAGTAAGACAGGAATGTGTCTTATCCCCAGACCTTCTCTGTCTACATAGTGAAATAATTTAGAGAGAAATAAAAGAGAATGCAGGAGTAAGAGTTGGAGGATACAATATAAACAATTTGCGCTATGCACACCATACAGATTTGATAGCTGAAAATGCAACTGATTTACAACAACTACTGAATGTTGTGGGGATGGAGTGTGCTAAGAACGGACTTTCATTGCATATTAAGAAAACGAAAGTAAGATAACTCCACGTTGTGATATCTCGGTTTAATGGGGAAAAAAAAAGATTTCACTAAGCCAATAAATTCAAATATTTGGGAACAATCGTATCATCAGATGTAAAATGTGTAACAGAGATTAAAAGCAAAATAGGTCAAGCGAAAGCTGTATTTCAGAAAATGAAAAATATATAATGCAACAAATCGCTCTCATTTAATGTCAGAAAGAGGGTGCTAAAATGTTACATAGAACCTGTTCTGCTGTATGGCAGCGAATCTTGAAATGTCACTGAACAAATTAGGAAGAATTTCGAAGCAACAGAGATGTGGTTTCTGAGACGAAAGTTACGAATACCATGGACGGTCAGAGTAACTAACAACGATTGCTTGAAGGAAGCTAATGAAAGTAGATCTCTATATGCAACAATAGGGAAAGAGACAAACACTGTTCTTTGGCCACATAATGAGAAGAGAGACACGGGAGAACATCGTGACAACTGGAAAGATCAGCGGAAAAAAAAGAGGTAGAGGCAGAACAAGAGAGATATGATGCTGGATGGGCTGAAACGATGGCATGGAGCGATATCATCAAGAAAGCTGTTCCAGGCAAAAAGGTATCGTAATTTGTGGAGACGCATGAGTACCTAAGCCAGTTGGCAAGGCACATGTTGATGATAAGCATATAGGCAGATGAAGCGGGTCTTCGTATAACTTGTACCGTGTGGTGCTGGTCATCTTGTCTCTTCACAGCCTTCTGCCTCCTGTCCTTACAATCTTCACTGATAAATGGATGCCAGACTGTTCAGCGTCGTCTCTCTTCGTTTCCTTTTCCTGAAATTTTACTATTATAACGAAGAAATCTAGTCTCCCTTTTCTTTTCCTAAAATTTTAGTATTGTCACGGGCTTCTCTGGCCTCCCCTTTTCTTCTCTTGAAACTTGACTGTTGTCATAACGTACTCGAATCTCTCTCTAATCACAAAGTTCCCTAAAGAATGCGTTTTGCATCCTTATAATGATGGCAATGAGTTCTCTTCATATGCTAATTTCTTTCACAATATCTTGATTACAGTTTTAATCAGCTCAGTGTGCTCTAGCCGGAGAAATGAAACTTACAGAAATTACGCCTAAACAGATCCAAGAAATCAAAGACTTTTTGCCCACAGCCAGAAAGAAAAATGTGAAATCTGTCATAATCAAGAGAAACAATGTCAAATTCAAGGTGCGTTGCAGCAGATACGTCTACACTCTGGTCATCGAGGACAGAGAGAAGACAGAGAAGCTGAGATTGTCATTGCCACCAGGTCTGGCAGTCATAGAGCTTAAGTGAGATTATTAAAACAAGAAATGTTTTTTTTTTTTTTTTTAAGGAACAAAACGCAGATGGAAGATTTATCATATGACAGCAGAAGGATGGAATTTTAAAATTATTTCAATGTCTAACTTTGAGGTACAAAATTCATCAACGCCATAACGACGGACGTATAATCAAAATACTACTGGTACCACACGTACTGGAACTCTGCGTTGGTTGCTGAAAATTGGGACATAGCTTCTATGGCAATGCCCCGAGTGCTATGATGTCGGTTCTTAAATCAACTCAGCTGGCTCATTTACAGATGTCAAATATTTACAGATGAAGAAGGACACAAGAGATTAATGACCTCAAAATAAAATTAACAACATTACGCGAAACTACAAGATTGAAACACCATCACAGAGTCTGCCATTGATACTTGGGACAGAAAAACAGCTACTGTAAAATTCAGTTTACTTGTCTATCTAGCTCCCACTTGCTACTTTGTTAGCACCGCGAATTACACATTTGTTCCCGGACTTATCCCAGGCTTTTGCAGCTGCTGGGGCAGTAAATTCACTTGCTGCTCTACGTAATCTAATGACACTTGAGTGACTTCTCATTACCAATGTACTGGAGAATAATCTGTCTGAAAAGGGCAGAGGCATTTGCTCAATGGGACTACATGACAGACACACACGCAGATGAGGGAATGAGGAAACAAAGAATCAATGAGGGTGAATGAAGAAAACATGAAAGAGAACTGAGAAAATATTTTTTTTTTTTTTGTGTGTGCGTGAAAAAGGCGGATATCATTGTTGCTTTTGAGGAATATCTAAACCAAATAGGCTGCCTGCAATGGACATTCATAAGGTAATGTTTCCTGTTTATTCTGACAAATGTTTGAGACGTAAAGCAGTGCAATAGCTGAGCAAAATATTTTTCTCAGTAACGCTCTAAAATTGTTGATGAAATCCGATCTGGTCGTCCTGTTGTCATTGCAACAGACGCAACTGTGCAGCGGACGAAGGAGATGATTAGAGGTGACAGGCGAGTAACAGTTGACTGTGTAGCAGCTGCAATAAGGTGCTCACGTGGACACAGCTTATTGCTATTCGAAGAAAACGTCCAGGCATTTTGCAAATGACGCAGGAGTTGAATGTGAAATGAAAAAAATGTGGTTTAGAAAACAGAGCACACATTTCTATGCAGCAGGTTTGAGAGGACTGATAAAACGATGGGACAAGTGCATCAATGTTTTTGGAAATTATTTTGAAAAATAAAGGGACGGTTTTCAAGTTGTCTTTATTTCTTTGGTTTATCTCTTTAAAACTATTTGTGACTTACTTATTGACTTTCCCTCGTATATATATATATATATATATATATATATATATATATATATATATATATATATATATATAACATATGTTTTATATATAATATATATATATATATATATATATATATATATATATATATATATATATATATATATATATATATAATTTATATATAACATATATATTATTTATATATATATTATATATATAATACATATGTTATATATATATATATATATATATAATATATATATATATATATATATTATACCAGACTCACATTATTAATACTAATTGTATTATATTATTATTATTTTCAATTTATTGAATGGCACATAAATATAATAGTTTACTAGAATCCGTGATTCTCTGAGAGACAGAAAAACGGCAGGCAGAAAGATAGAAAGACAGACAGAGACTTGTATATTTATATATATATATATGTCTGTCTTTCTATCTTTCTGCCTGCCCTTTTTCTGTCTATTTGTCTGACTGCCAGTTTTCTTATTGTTCTTTCCTGTCTGTCTGAAATTGGATACTGTAGAATTTCTATCGTGCCGTGTAAACAGTATAGGGGATGTAGAATAGTAATAGTACATTTTACCCCACTAGGAGTACAAGCGATATACACCCGATGGCACAAAGTGCCACCATGTGGATGAGGATCTCCTGTTGAGAGATCCCGGAAACCGCGTTTAGCCATTAGGCCAAATTGATGGCTGGGCTATATTGTGGCGCCTGGCAAGAGCCAGGGTGGGGCTTCAAAATAAAGAAAATTTACATCCGACAAGGAAATTATTAATGATCTATCTATCTTCTTTTACCCCACCAGTACATCACACAAGCGAAAAACATCCGATGACACAAAGTGCCACCATGTGGATGAGGATCACCAGTAATTAGGTCCCAGAAACCGTGTTCAGTCAATAGTCCCTATTAATGGCCGGGTTATATTGCTGCCCCTTGCACGAGCCGGAGTAGGGCTTCGAATAACGAAAAATTGCATCCCACAAAGGGATGACCCCTAAAAAAAGAATAATTATTAATAATAGAGGATGTAGAGTCCAGTAAAACGAGAAAAGCATGGAGGAAACACTTTAGTAAATGGGTTTGTGAGATGGAAAGAAGGGAGGAATCATGAAGAAGAAGAAGAAGAAGAAGAAGAAGAAGAAGAAGAAGAAGAAGAAGAAGAAGAAGAAGAAGAAGAAGAAGAAGAAGAAGAAGAAGAAGAAGAAAAGAAGAAGAAGAAGAAGAAGAAGAAGAAGAAGAAGAAGAAGAAGAAGAAGAAAGAAGAAGAAGAAGAAGAAGAAGAAGAAGAAGAAGAAGAAGAAGAAGAAGAAGAAGAAGAAGAAGAAGAAGAAGAAGAAAGAAGAAGAAGAAAGAAGAAGAAGAAGAAGAAGAAGAAGAAGAAGAAGAAGAAGAAGAAAAAAGAAGAAGAAGAAGAAGAAGAAGAAGAAGAAGAAGAAGAAGAAGAAGAAGAAGAAGAAGAAGAAGAAGAAGAAGAAACAAAAGAAGAAGAAGAAGAAGAAGAAGAAGAAGAAGAAGAAGAAGAAGAAGAAGAAGAAGAAGAAGAAGAAGAAGAAGACGAAGAAGAAGAAGAAGAAGAAGAAGAAGAAGAAGATAATGGACGATGATGGATGATGATGATGATGATGATGTAATGATGATGATGATGATGAAAGGAAACGAGGAGCAAATTGTTTCCCTTTAGAGTTTTCTCTAACATATTTTACTCCTCTATTCATGGACACATTAGTGAAACGAGAGAGGCATGTTGCTTTTATCCTATTATGTTGGAAATTCCGGAAGATTATTAATCTTTACGGCCCACCAAGTTTTAAATATCTTGATTACACTGAAATGCGTTTTTGTTAGTCCACATTTTTTCCTCTCTGTTTCCTGGCATGCTGATGGAAACAAGAGCATAAGAACATCATCAGCATTATCATTATCGTCACAAGCGATTTTAGAACAAGCTCGGTAATTGCAGATTAGCTAAAGCTTACATCCCAGCATGATGTTGTCCACATCCTCAGTCGAGGACTGGTTGCTCTAGTATCATGTCTTCCATCCGTTGCATCACTTTCCTTACAAAATGTATTTTTCTGTTACTTTTTTTTTTAGGTTACGTCCAGTAGTTTGCCATTGCACTAAACGGTCGGCTTCTTGATACCACTGTCGAAACCAACACAAGGTGCATGGCCCGCAGCTGGGATCGAACCCGGAACCTCGGCATTACGAAGCGTTCGCATCGACTGCAGCAGACCGACTTTTGTTTCACGTTTCAAAGGTCTAGTCATTTTCATTTAGGGCAGGGGGCTGCGTGGTCTTGAGGCATGGTGTCCGCCTCGAGTACTAGAGGTTCGGGTCTAATCCCCCGGTAAGGGCTGAGATTTTTTCACGTGGACTTGGACTAGTAATTCCTCCCGGGCTCTGGGTAGTGAGATCGGACGACCGTATGCATTGTTGCGCGCGTAACAAATCGATTGGCAGTTGGAAATCGAAAAGAATAGCCTAACGGTGCTTTCTGGGGAAAATGTGGTGTTACAAGTTTACCCAAAGTATTTCAGGATACAAGCGGCTGCTACAGAGCCTGTGCACTGTGCTGAGCGTCTTCGGACTAAGACTTAAATTAGAGGAAGCACGGAGCACTTATGGGTTACTACCCGTGTGCCATGATGTTGATCAGTTGTTCAAAACTCAAACGTCATTTACCGATTTTTACAAAAAGCTTTGAAGTCTTTTTATGTTTCTATTTTCAAAACTACTCCTTGTTAATGTCGAAACAACAACCAGCACTGGCGCTTGAAATAATCTTACATGAAAACAAGACTTCGCCCTGAAAGACCTTCTACATCAGGTAACACCGACTTTGAGTATATGGCAAGACCGTCGCTGCCTCTCTTCCCCCCCCCCCCCTTTCCCCTTTTTGAGTATATAGGAAGACACACCCAACATCCCTATGCACCCCACTTCTTTTTAAGTAAAAGGCGCACTGCCATATTCAAAATTAAGATAGGAAAAAAATATATATCGGACTATTACGAATACAAATGCCTTAGTTCCAACATTATTTGTCGCCCCCCCCCCCCAACCCCCCCCCCCCCTTTCTTTCCCCCAACCGTCCAGGCTGGAGACCAATGATCTTCATCCACAGAAACAGACAATGATCAATGCTACCACATGAAGCAATGAATCGCCCTATATTCCTTGCCACTGCGCCTAACAATGAAAGTGGAAATTGATGATAATGATGGTGGGTGGTGGTGATGGTGCTTCCTTTTGTAGAAAAGTGCCTTAGATGCTCCCACTCACATGCAGGTTAAAAGAACAACTGTCTCCGCATATCTAATTTAATTGTAATTATAAATGTCTCTCTCTCTCTCTGTCTCTCTCTCTCTCTCTCTCTGTCTCTCTCTCTCTCTCTCTCTCTATATATATATATATATATATATATATATATATATATATATATATATATATATTATATATATATAAACGGCAGCTCATCCTCATTGAGCTGACCGTCCCGTATGAGTCGCGTATGGACGAAAATCAAACGTACAAGCTCGAGAAATACGGTGATTTAGCAGCCGGTCTGAGGATAGACGAGGCGTACACAGTACGTGTCTTTGCCGTCGAATTGGGCGCGAGGGGTCTCGTCACCACTTCACTCTACTATGTGGTTAA